CGTCTGCTCTATTTCATAGAAAGTGACGAAGTTGCGGCGAAGAGCATCGCATCGATTAGAGTGAATAGAGCAGTTAGAATTCTCCAGAATCGATGAATGGACATTCTTTCGCACAGAGGAGTCAACTACAATAGCTGTACTAAGTTTTTATCGTAATATATCTACGAATCTATATTTATAAACTTATCCTTTGAAGGGATTCATTATTTATAATCATTGCGAATGAGGGTAGAAATCCCACATTAAATAAAATTTGCCGCATTTTTAAAGGTGTACCTCTAGAATTTTTCGGTTAGTAAATGAGAGATCGTGCTCCACAAGAAAAAAAGTTTATTCGACTAAGCAAAGATGCCTGCCATCAGCACAAGATTAATTCTGAAAAAATGTCATATATGATGTAACAATAAAAAATTTAACTCATGTGCACTGCGAATGTAAGATTTTGCAAATGCATTACTTGTTCCTCCGGGCTTCTTGCAGTTATAAAGCTGTAAAACATTGGAAAACAGTATATTTAAACTGTTGTTTAAATTGGGCACAAATCGTTAATCCTGCCGAAACTAGGATACAACCCTTGGTTGTTTTGTACCTTTCCGAGTTATGGATTTCGTTACCTTACACTGTACAGGGTCATGCAATTACAGTGTGTTGTCGCATGCTTGTAGCATATTCCTGTTACAATAATTAGCGTGCTATTGTACGGTCGGTTGTTATTGTTTTAAGCTGTTGCGCGGATTGACCGTCTTTTAGCGTTTAACTTTTTTAAAACCTTTTTGACCAAAGTTTCTATGTTGAACAATTTTTGATACATTGTTGGTCGTCCTTTGACTGAGAATTACTTTTATGTATGTGTGAATCTGTCTTTTTTCGTTTGCCGCGAAGAGTAGACGTTTCATACTCAATTGGATGATGCTGAAAGCAGTTTTGGGTGGACGCTCATCACCGATTGTCGAATGTAGACATTGGATAAAGTTGATTTGTTATGAATTTGGCTCCTCACAATTCCCAATTTTTGTTTGACACGTGTAGAAAAAGCGTAGAGCTTTGATAAACGACAGTTAAATACGAAGCGTCATTTGCACCCTACTTCCCTATAATTCTTTCGTTGCTAACTGTACTCAGGCCGGTAGATATTACCTTTGCTTTAAGTTCCCAGTTGTTTGAACAGCAATTTTGAAGTGTTAATTCAGTTTTGGTGAACAGGCAAAATGTTATCATCGCGCCTTCATCCTAAGCTGTGCAGGTAGCCTATTATGAATACCTCATCGGGATCAAATGAGATAGTGGAAGTCACTGGACGAGGTATACTTTCATGCCATTAAAAAGGCTTATTAAGAAGAAATATGCTTTGCCTTGAATTTTAAATCAAAATGGCTTTCCGTTGGCAAACAATATTCATATCGAGAATGTTTCGAACCTTTAGACCAGGGATTTTGTGCACTGCAGA